AGAACTTACTCAAACTTTCTATGCCGCGGTTTTCTCATTGTAAGATGAGGATAAAAAGAGGCTGGTTGAGGCCGGAATGAACTGAAACACGTACAGCACCTATGACAGTGCCTGGCATGTCCTCAGAATTCAATAAAATGTTAGAAAATAAGGGCAGGAGGAAAGACAGAACTAACTACTCAAAGGCAGCTGTGCTGAGGCGGCAAAAAAACCCACCTTATGGCTAAAATTTCTCAAGTGGAAGGGAAGGAATTTACAGCCCACTCTTCAGTGACACAAAGCTTCTTCCAGTAAGACTTTCTAGTCACAGCTGCTGACTAGATAGGACTGAAAATTTAAACTAAGTCCTCAGAATGTGAGGTCGCTTCTTACAGCATTCCTCGCCAGAATATATTTCCCTTGATACAGAATGCAGTATGTACACAATTGCTGAACATCAACGTAAAGGAAGGCCATTACATATCATGTAAAGGAGTAGAAAGCAGAATGTGGAACCAAAAATATTTCCCAAATCCTAAGCTGGGAACCAGAGAGATGGCAGTGACCCAGGAGTGAGAGGAAAGTTAGGGAAGAGAAAGGAATGGTGATGGACTTCTTAGTTCCCAGCTGTCAGGCAAACAAAACCAGCAATTTCCTTTCTGGATGCTTGCCAGATTCAGACAGCTTTTGGGAAATTAGACAGTGGCTGCAGATTATAATAACTAAAAGAAAAAAAGTGAATTTTAGATGATATAACCAATTCTTTCAGAAATACTCCTTCCAAATAATGACTAAATAACTCACTCAATTTAAAATCCAAGTCTCTCTAGCCCAGCTGGTGTGGCTTAGTGGTTGAACTTCGACCCATGAACCAGGAGGTCAAGGTTGGATTCCCAGTTAGGGAACATGGTGAGGTTGCAGGCTCCATCCCCAGTAAAGGGTGTGCAGGAGGCAGCTGATCAATGATTCTCTCTCATCATTGATGTTTCTATTTCTCCTCTCATTTCCTCTCTCTGAAATTAATAAGAAAACATATTAAAAATAAAATAAAATCCAGGTCTCTCTAAAGATGACCCAGAGTAAAGTGATGTAGATGGGAGAATTTGAAACTGCTCTACTGAAATCCCACCATCCCTTCCAGCTCTTTAATCTTTAGGGTTGAAATGGGATCACAAGATCAAGGACGTTGCCACACTTCCTTCTTGTTCTCTTGAGTCTTGATTTCTCACAACTGCTGGCAAATAGGAGGCCGAGATGACTGCTTTCTCATCTGATGAGAAGTAGTAAGACTCATCTTTCCTGTTGATGTAATTTCCAGGCTATTCCAGCAACAACAATGTCTTTGGCAGCGAGGAAAAGAGCATGCTGCAACAACAGAGGCGGGGTGAGTACTGAGCGGCGAGGGGAGGCGGGGAAAGTACACCAACTGTATGGACAGCTGAGCAAAGCCACTTGGGGCTTCGGTAGCTACCAAATCACTGTGTGGTTCCAGTGGCAGGACCACAGTCTTAGGAACGTCCTCTTAGGATGCTTGTATGATGATACAGAAAGTGTGAGGGTTTTTTTTCCCCTCCATAAAAGTGTAACTTTGGAGCCAGCCTCACACCTCTCCCCAATCTTCAGTTTCACTATCTAAAGGTTTTCAAAGGAAGGAGATTTAGAAATCACACCCAGAGCTGCAACCAATTTCAGAATAACAAGACTTGTTATTTTTGTGCTGTGTATAAAATACTTAAGGAAAATGTGACCTCAGTTCTCTCATGCATATGAAAGAGTCGTTTGCTAGGCTCGGGATGCTCATTGCTCGATGCGATTAAAGGAGACACTAGTTATTTTTTTTCTAACATTAAGTACATACCTATTATGAATAAGATTTTAACTAAGTTAAAAGGAAAATAATGAATACTTATTAACCTTCTGTCACTATGCTCAGAACAGATTCAAATAAGTTATCTTATTTCTTTCAAAACCCTTTAGTTTTGAAATATGATCCGCTTTATTGACCGAGAAACTGATGCTCAGAGAAAGCAAATAACTTGCCAGAGTAGCACAGCCAGTAAGTGAACTTTTATCTCAATCCATCAGACTCTCAAAGTCACAATGTCTACACCACTGATGCCATGAACATTGTTAATAACACTGTGTGCGGGCTCATAATTCTCTAAGGAAGGCGTAGACGAATAAATGAGCACTCACAGTGAGTTCCTGGCTGAGCTTGGGGTTTGAAAGCGATGGTTCTCAGCCTGATGGGGATGTTAGAATTACCAGGGAGGATCTTAAAAATATCTCTCCACCTCTACCCCCTTCCCCTGAGATGTAGCATCAGTATTTTTCAAAAACACTCTAGGTGACTCTAATGTGTTCCCAGAGGTGAGAACCACTGTTTAAAGAGATACACATTTAGATTAATATTACACATTTGTATTTTTAAAAATTACCCTTTTCTGTCATTTGATATCTAGGGTTATAACTACTTTGCTAATTATTTATAGTCTCTCTTTGTTCCTGATACATTGCAGGTAGTCAGTCAATCTTAGTTTTTAGTTTCCCTTCCTTGCGCTTTTCTTTTCAAACTATTATCCCTTGGAGTTTGATTTTGCATTACCTCTATGTTGTATTCCAAACATTCGTGTGTTTTTTAAAAATATGTTTTTATTGATTTCAGAGAGGAAGGAAGAGGGAGAGACAGAAACATCAATGATGAGAGAGAATCATTGATTGGCTGCCTCCTGAACGCCCCCCACTGGGGATCGAGCCTGCAACCCAGGCATGTGCCCCCAACTGGAATTGAACCTGAGATCCCTGAGTCCACCCAGGCATGTGCCCCCAACTGGAATCGAACCTGAGATCCCCCAGTCCGCAAGCTGACATTCCATCCACTGAGCCAAACCAGCCAGGGCCAAACATTCTTGAGAAAGATATCCTGAAATATTTCTGAATCCTCAAACTTAAAGACATCAGAATTCTTATATATTTTTCTCTCATATCATATTTCCATTAAGAATATGTCCCTGCCCCCTGCACATATCCTGTCATGACAAATTTGTCATCTTTTCTTTTTTTCTTAGATTTTTAAAATATATTTTATTGATTTTTTACAGAGAGGAAGGGAGAGGAATAGACAGTTAGAAACATTGATGAGAGAGAAACATCGATCAGCTGCCTCCTGCACACCCCCCACCGGGGATGTGCCCGCAACCAAGGTACATGCCCTTGACCGGAATCGAACCCGGGACCCTTGAGTCCGCAAGCCGACACTCTATCCACTGAGCCAAACCGGTGCTGGCTGTCATCTTTTCAATGACTATTTTTCTCTCTCCTTTAGGGACAGAGAGTTGAGAATAATCAAACCACCTTTTCACGCAGGTGTTGGGCTTGACTCACTGGCCAAGGGTGGGGGGCAGCATGGAATAATAGTGGTGGTGGCCATTAAATCACCAGTTTATACTGATTAAAGTTTTTAGGCACTTTTCTCACCAGCCATGTGAGGACTGGTGTTTAAGTCATATCTTGTATCTTTCAAGTATATACCAAAGCATCATAAAAGTGGCAAAGGCTAGATCTTGGGAGGGAGGGAAGAGGTGGTCCCCAAGACTTGTCCTCTATCTTAACTGTTCCCACTATTTCCCCTACTTGAACTGTTCCCTGCTCCTTCCCTTTATCCATTTATTGATTTTGCTTCTGAATACTTAGGTTTCCTGAGTCATTTAAATGAACCCTAAGTCTAGGGGAAATACAGATGTTGGAATCACTTTCTAAAGCCAGGCCTCTCTGCAGTGATGAGAAGTCAGAAATCATAGATGACCAAAAAATAAACACAGTGACGTTTCTTGACGAGCAAATTGAACAGTAGTGTGGGAGAAGTAGGATTTGAATCACACTCAAACCCATCATTCTGGGCCTTTGGCTGGAAGGAATGTAGTTAGTGATTAGACCTGAGCACTCACGTTTACCAGCCGTGAGGTCCCAACACATTGCCAAACTCCCTGGACTGCATTTCCTCAACCATAAGATGGGAATAATAGCATCCATCTCGTGGTGTTACTGAAAGGGTAGCAAAGCCCAAGCTCCCTCGACACACACTGTATACATAGTCACTTACTCTGCCTACCCTTTAAGGGCAGGTCTAAAGAATGCAACAGGTGACCCCTCTAGGAGCTGCGATATTACCCCATCAAAGGAAAAGAAATCCTTCCCTTATTTCTGCAGATTTACAAATCATAATTAACAGTGATTAACACAACACAGAACTTCTTTTTGGAAACCAACTTTCATTTGGGCCATAACACTTCCTATTCCCAAATCTCATGCTTTCCTGTGCTGATTCACAAAATGAAAGATGCTTACAGTCTTTCCCTCTGACTCAGTGGTGGTGCTGCACCAAAATCAGTTGCATGCACCCTCTGCCCCACAAGCTCCTGCTCAGGGGGACATTTATAATGTCTGGCAACATTTCTGATTGCTACACCTGGGTGAGTGTGTGTTAGCGGCACCTAGTGGGTAGAGACAGGAATGCTGCCCATTGTACCGTGCACAGGAAAGGCCCCAACAGCAAAATGCCCACAGGCCAGTTGTGCTGGGATAGAGAAGCCCTGTTGTAACTCTACACTGTATTGATTACTGCAAAATGCTGACCTCAGGCCACTTTCAAGATCAGGGCCAAATCCAGACTAAAGATTTAGGAGTCAAGAGAGCAGACATCAAAGTGTGGGTGCTGATGATCTAGTCAAGGTTCTTTCTATGAAGTAGGAGGTACACAGAGTATGACTGAGTAACCAGATCTCAGTGCTCAGTTAAAATGGACAAGGTTCAGAATTTTCAGAAAACACGGCAAGACCAACACTCCTTTAGTGATTCAACAGAATGGCAGACTTTGCCTTCTGCCTTCTATAATTCACACCCAATAAAACTGTGATCTTAACATCTAGGGCTACAAATTGGCCGGAGAAGGGCAACTGTAGATCTGATGCTGAAACTTGAAACAGACCAAGAACATGTAATGACATGTGCATATGAACTACCTTATTTTTCAGATGTTTCTTTCATCATTTCTGAATATAATCACAATAGTTGGTGCTGTGTACTGCGTGCTGGTATCCGTGCAGGCTCTCTTGAAAGGTCCTCTCATCTGTAATCCTCCAGGCAACAGTACCTGTGAATTTTCAGTAGACAAATTAAGGTGAGTGACCTTTCCTTGATTGTCTTACACCGAAGCTACTTAGATTAGAATAATGTGGTGCTCACACAGCGACTTTATTTTTTTAAATGAAACTACTGGGACAGATTCTTATGGATTTAGCACATAAATTCCAACTGGCAAAAGCTCATAAAAAGTGGAGGAATCACTACATTCAGAATGTTTCGGTGTGGTCTTGTTGAAAAGGATAATTGACTCAGATGGCTTATCCTTGCCTTAAAAATTCTGGGAAATACACAGCAGAAGCTTAACTTTCACCTTCGGAGAATGGTGATGAGGAAGCCCTGGGGAAGCACTGACTCTCCACACTCTGAACTAATGAACTGTGTAAGCCCGAAGCACAGACTACTTCTATACTTTAAAAAATTGAATAGAAACCAAATAAATAAAATCTAGAGCCTTACTTATAAGCCCTAAAAGAAACCTAGCAGCAGATGGATTATGGGGACACACTATAAATAGATGTGTGGATAGGAATGAATTAAAAGTTTAAGTCACTTAGTAACAAATAATGAAGAGTTACAAGTAAATGGTTCCTTTCAGTCTTGTAAGATGGTTTTGTGCCTGCACCTAAGCACAATGTCAAAAACTGGAACAAAAAACAATCTAATTCATTACTTCTCTCTATATTAGAGAATAAGTTACATAAAAAATTTCCCCCTCCTTTTCATCTTACAAAGATAAATCTCTCAAAACTTTCATACAACAGTTGTTAAGAATCACAATCCAGACATTCCCTTTACTAAAGGATCTGAAATCTAAAATTAGAGAGATTTCAACCACAGATGCTGCACACGTTCTTTCAGTCTGTAGCAGATGACAGCTCACCATGTATCAGGCTAAGCTCTGGAGGTGACAGAACTCAAGGTATTCCCACTCTCGTTGGGGTGATAGACAGTTACAGAGAGTAAACAGTTACACACGAGGGATCCTAGGCTTGCTGCAAACTGCAAGGTGCACTCTCATATTCCATTTGTTTTTCCAGGTAGACTTGCAGTTGCTGGTACCCAAAATGCAAACTCACTATTAGCCTACTGTATAGTGAACCAAAGAAAAATGACCTCAGGATAGATGTGTTAGGGCAAAATGTTTTTCATAATCCATACCTTGTCACAACGGGCACAAATCACTTTAATCAGTCATATTATTTTTCTTTTTTATTGGATTTACTAGGGTGACATTGGCTGATAAAATTATATAGGTTTCAGGTATAATCATAGTATTAACATGTCTCTCTGAGTAAAAACGGTACCTCTGGTTTAAGAGCAGATGCCACTGTGGTTTTTCACTAAGAATTGAGCTCCTTCAAAGGGAGAGCTCCTTTATTTTCACATCTTCAGCAAGTAGAAGAACGTCTGCATAAATAGTCTGAACCACATGCAATTGTTGATGTTCAACCACTTTTGACATAGAAAACATTTTTTGGTTTTTGATTAATCTTCACCCGAGGACATTTTTTCCATTGATTTTTAGGGAGGGTGGAAGGGAGGGTGGGGAGGGAGAGACATCCATGTGAGAGGCACATATTGACTAGTTGCCTCCTGCACACACCCGGACCAGGGCTGGGAATGAATCTGCAACCGAGGTATATGCCCTTGACTGGGAATCATACCCAAGATCCTTCAGTCGAGGGCCAACACTCTACCATTGTGCCACACTGGCCAGGGCTACATAGAAACCGTCTGTTGAAAGATGGGATAATGAACAAAAAGCTTTAACCTAGTATAGTATATAGACACATACCCAGAAACCCTGATCTTAGCTAAAATTTCTAGGCAAATTTCAAAAGTACTTTGTTTTACTATACTTTCCTGGGCACAATGTTGCATTCTTTTGATGGCCACAGAAATTCTTAAACATCTTACCTTTTATTTTTCTGGAAGGATTGATCCCCAATCCTTCAATCTACAGTGGTACTTCAATGGATCTTGCGTAGCTCCTAACAGTTTAAATTCTTCCACCACGAATGACACCATGGCCAGTGACTTGAAAAAATACAACTTGCAAGAAAAGAGGCACAAGACTATCCATTTCTCAGTATTTGTAGGCCTACTGCTTGTGGGGAACCTTGAGCTCCTGTGTGCACTCAGTCAGATTGTCATCGGTTTCCTGGGCTGTCTGTGTGGAGTCTCCAAGCGAAGAAGTCGAATTGTGTAACAAAATGGAAATATAAGCAGTTTGAATCATCTGAGAACTACATTTAAAAGATACCCTTTTAGAAGTTCATTAACAGAACATTGGCTAGAAAGTTGTATTAATCCTTCTAGTCCAAAAGGTTGTTTTTAAGGTGATTAAAAAAAAATCAGCCTTTTACATACAATGTTGGTAAATGCAAACCACTTTCATAAGAATCACCAGTAGTTGACTTTGGGGTGCAGTGAAGCTTTCCATGTGTTTTGAATCCTTTTGTGATGTTTGAATTTTTTAACTACATTCTTGTGTGGGGAGGGGAAAAAAGGGAGGGGAAAGGAGATGGGTGATGGAGGAAGGGAGAACGAGAGGGAACAAGTTATCTTGGAAGTCAAAGTAGGGGACCTTTTCCTTGTGTTTCTTTATACTTTAAGAAAAAATAACTATCTAACCTGAATGTAATCAAGTTTTTTATACCGAATTCCTCACTTACTGGAAATCCAGGGAGAGAGAGACTCAAATTCTAAAGGTAGGACAGTAAATAGATAATAGCCTTCTGTTTTCAACAAGAAAATTACAGAGAAAAAACAAGTGGAATGTATTGAGGAAACTATTCATATTGAGAACAAAGAGATGTTATTCAACTAAATGTATTATACAGACCTTATAGGGAAAATAGGACAAAGTTGTACAGGATTGGTTTGGGTAATATTAAGGACTTATTGTGAATATTTACAGCTGATAATGGCTTTATGGTAATATTAAAAAATGTCCTTATTTTTTAGAAATGCATGTTTTTGTGTTTGGGGGAAAATGTCATGTTTTTAAAATACGTCAACAAAAAATAAAGCAATTGAAAAATGTTCATTGTTTTATATATAGGGACAGGAATATAGTGAGTCATTATACTTTTCTATTTTCCTATGTTTGCATTTTTCACAATAATTAAAGAACTATAAATACCTAGAAAAAATCAGTCTTTCAAAAGCTGGTTTCTATATATCATAATCTTTAAAAGACAACATAATAAAACAGTGTATTTACCATATTAAAATGATAGAAAACACTAAAAATCTACAATTTTCTGAATGTGATCATTCCTGCATTTTTTCCCAATTATTTATGTTCACTGCGCTTCAGGTTGTAGAAATAACTTACAATACTTACATTATAGCTGCTCTTCAAAATTAGTAACATACAGGTACTTTCTTTCTGAATCCATTTGCTGTGTAAAGACCTTCTCCTCATGCACTTATAAATCCCAATTTACCCTTAAAGTTTAACTTACATTATTTCTACTTGAGAAAGCTTTCCCAGAGTGCATGATTCCAATAAATCAAGTTAGCACTTACCCAAACTACTATTATCATACCTGTCAGAATGTAACATAAATGTTTTTGCTTGTATGTCCATCATTATAAGACAACAAGGACCAACTAATGCTTCTCATCCATTAATTCATCAGTTCCTTCCTGCTTCAGGTTAGCAAGGCCTCTCTTCTATCCAGGCCCGCCTATCCCCCTGCCCAAGTCTAATCTCTGGCTAAGTCCTCTTCATCCTTTAGCACAAATATTCCTTTTTCTGAGAAGCCTTCCCTAACCACCTAATGACAAGCAGGTGTCCCCTTACCCTCCCTTAGCTCTCTTTCATTGATAGTACTCACCACAATGGTGATGGCATTTTTATTTGTACTTGCTTCTTAAATTTCACTTTCCCCCATAAGACCATAAGCTCCATGGGTACAGGGATATGCTTCTTTTACCCGCTCCTGGTATACTCAGTACCAAGTACAGTGCCTGACACAAAGTAAGGCCACCACTAGAAATATTCTGTGGAATCAATGAATGAATTCTATCTTGGCTACTAGGAATATTCTATTGAATGAACTGATGAATTCTATCTTTAGTACTTAGCTTTCAGCAAAGATTCAATACTTACTAAATGAATGCCAAACTGCTAATAGCCATAGAATTAAAACACAAGTGACTAACAGGGCAGTTCACACTATGTAGCTGAACAACATGAGGGGCAGCGACAGTGCTCACAATCTTTGCATCACCCTACATCAGTGGTCGGCAGACTCATTAGTCAAGAGCCAAATATCAACAGTACAATGATTGAAATTTCTTTTGAGATCCAAATTTTTTAAACTTAAACTAGGTAGGTACATTATTATTAACTTAATTAGTTTACTCCTAAGGCTTAGGAAGAGCCACACTCAAGGGGCCAAAGAGCTGCATGTGGCTCGAGAGCTGCAGTTTTCCAACCATGGCCCTAGATGACCCAGTTCTCCAGTCATGAAGAGACAGATTAAGCCTCCCATTCCAGAGGGCATGAGAAAGGATGGCTCAAAGGAGCACAATCAGCTCAAGTAGCTGGTAAGTCATTTCCTTGCTATTTTACTAGTTTGCTGACATGAATTAAGTCCCTAAAAGCCTATGGACCACCTGTGTTTAGGTATTTTTGGGGACATGCCAGCTTTGCTCTGGCACCTAAACTTACAAATGCGTATTTGTACACCCCCTCCCCCATGTACTTAGTCATTTACAAAGCTTTTTATTTCTCACTTCCACCTCCATGTTCAATCTTGTTTTGGAATCTTTACACTTTAATTTTTACTGATATCCACCACATGAAACACTCCACCCTCTCCCTATCCTTCAGCTGTATCTCAAGTTGCTCTTCTTCAATGAAGTTGTTTTTATCATCTTCTAATTCCTTAATAAACCTACTCCCGGCCTCCTCCATTGATTTGTCAGTTCCTTCGGAGCAGCACATAGGGTCTTGCTCCTGCCAAGCCCTTAGGTGCATGACTCGCGCCTGAGACAGAGACTTGGGTTCATGTAAGGTAAGAGTATGTGACGGAGCTCACAGCATAGTATGATGAAAAAATCTTCCTTTTTTCAACAAATATTGCTTTGGTTGACAGTTTATTAAATACACTGCAATTGTACCTTATTCTGTAGTTTTTTAAATCATTCACACATGAACTTAGTAAAAATGTCCCTTATAGAAAACCACCTGAAAAACTAAAATAAAAACAAACATATTTTACACACATATTAGATAAACTGCTGAAAATATTAGGACTTATTTTAATAATAAAGGTGAAACATGAGGTGGCTTGATTTTATTAATTCTAACACCAGACCATGACTTTCAGATGTGTTAATGCTGAATGTGGATGCGAGCATGTCTATTAACAAAACTGTTTGACAATGTTTGGGAAACAGATCAAAGTAAAGGATTTTTCTTTTACAGATACTTTTCTAAATCTATTCTCTACCTGCCCCCATTCAGAGAATTACTTGTGCAAATGATGTGGCAAAAAATTAATTCCTTTTAAAAAAACAAATCAGAGCCTATTTACACAACATGCAAAGAGAATTTTAAGTAGGCGTTATTGCAGGACTAGTTACAAGGGAATACAGCTAAGTGGCAGAATATACCTTTACTTCTGCAAACATGAGTCTTTCCCCTTCCCTTCTGGAAGAAGTACATTTTCAGGATGTGGACTATAAAATGGCATATTCAACGCAAACACAGAAACAAGGAAGTTTGCAAATTCTTTATATTTCCAGCTGTTGAGACAGTATTTTTTGAGAGCTGAGGTTACTCTAGCGGCGAAACCAGAGCCAGCTATTAAGCAGCCAGAATGCTACCGTAATTGAATACATGACCATTTCTCTTTTAGCACGTTCTTTGTTCTCCTCTTCTAGAAGTTGTAGACGTCGATTTAATTTGATTATCTAAATGAAAAACAAAATAGAAGCGTTAATGCAAGGAGTGATCAAATTCTTATAAAGTAGTATAATTTGTTAAAATAATTATTATAAACATGGGAAGTTTCATTTGGAGCAAAATAAAAAAAAACTATGTAGAAAAGTTACATATGATATAGAAAGAGAAACACCAATGGGAGAAATATCAATAGGTTGTCTCCCACATGTGACCCCATGGGGATAGAACCTGCAACCCAGGTAGGGCGGGGATGGCCATTCCGATCATCTGAGAAAGTACCTCTCTTTTATCATGCTAAGCAACCACTTTTCTGTTAGGGCCAATTCAGTAAACAATAAAAGTGTTTAAAAATCACCTTTCCCACTACTCAAAATGGGTAGTTTATTTGGTTCCACGGGATACTATGTTCTTACACTACCAATCCTATTTTACTGCCAATGGAAAAGTGGCATTGCTTTACATCATTAAGATATTTCCATCTGGGCATTTTTGAATAGCTTTTTGTTTTTTTAACATTTTTATTGATTTCAGAGAGGAAGGGAGAGGGAGAGAGAGATAGAAACATCAATGATGAGAGAGAATCATTGGTTGGCTGCTTCCTGCACGTCCCTTACTGGGGATTGAGTCCGCAACCAGGGGAATGTGGCCTTGACCAGAATCAAAACCGGAACCCTTTTGTCTTCAGGCCAACACTCTTATCCACTGAGCTAAATGGGTTAGGGCCCAAGGCAGCTTTTTAATACCCCCCACCCCAATACTGGGTTACATTCTGTATCCTAAAGCTAGTGACCCTGAACTGCTCATCACTACACTAAACGGACTCCAGACAGCTGGGTTCCCAAACGGGCAATGGAGCAAAGAGAGCTGCAGAAGTAGCAGCTCCCCTTGCTGCCAGGTCATACAAATATAAATTCTGTAGAATCTTCTGGTGATTCCACTTATGTTAATTATCATAGAAACTCATAGTTTCCCAACTGGCTTTCTACTCCTTTTAAAGTCTCAAAGCACGTGTGCAAGTTATTTATCTATAAATAGAGGCCCGGTGCACAAAGATTTGTGCACTTAGGGGGGGAAG